TAGAATGTCTGGGGTCTTTCTGTGCTTTGAGGTTTGATGGAGGGGCGAACTTTAAGGAGGAAGACTCAAAGAGGAGTTGTTTATCAGGCAGAAGTAACATCCGTGCCAAAAGTGACAAGAAATCCCTCCCCAGCCATCTATCTCCTGTCTGATACCCAGACAGCGGCTTCATCCAACCCCTTCCGGGCAGCGCCTGTTTCCTCTTGAGCAGTGTCTTTGGCAAACCCATCGCAGTAAGAGGAAGAAGGAGTTAAAGCGGTAATCACAGCAACCTTGACAGTCTCACTGGTCTTACCATGGAGGATGAGGCAGGCCCTGTAACCTCAGGTGGCAGGCAGCCTTCAGTCCCTGAGACTCAGCCGTTTCCTCCCCCGTGAGTGGCCTTCCAACTGGTGCTTGGAGGCACTGGGACGGGGTGGGGGGTGGCAGGGTGTCCTGCGGGGGTCTTTAGCAGGCAGCCCTGAGATTTTCCTGCCCTGAGTGTGACAGGAAGAGGCTCTGTTCACACGTACTTGGACCAAAGGGGTGGGCCTTACGTCTTCTCAAGAGGCGTCTTACGTCAGATTACACCGTAAGTGAGATAAGCACATGCTTACTTGTGCTTCCTACCTTATCTCTCGTGAAATTCTTTGCATTTTCACCACTGCAGAGATTCTGCATCTCGGTGTGGCTGGCAACTGCCTCTCTCAAGCCCCGGAGCACCCTCCCACCGAGTCAGAGCCTCTTTTCAAAGTCCCCATCCCTGACAGGAGCTGAGTGCCCGGAGGGCACTATAAGCAGCACAGGCCTGCTTGTGCTGACCGGCCTGTCTGTTGTGAAGGAGTTCCATGTGCCGGGAGGAAACCCACGTGAGGTTGTTCACTGCAGGTGGGCCGGCCGGCACAAGCAAGCCTGTGCTTACCTGGCGTCCTGGGGGCTCCACTCTTGGGAAGCCCCGTCCTTCCCAGGAGATGCAGCAGGAGTGGCGGAGGGATGTTGGTGATCTACGCCCAAGAATCCCAAGTGCTAGACATCTTACCAAACTCCAGACATCCCAGGAAGTTGTTTCCCTGCTCGGGGCCTCTCTCCTCGGCCTGCTGCGGACAGCACTGCAGTGGAGTGGGCTTCTTCCAGAGCAGTGACGCAGGCCGGCCTGCAGCCTCTGGCCGGCCTGCTGGGCTGGAGTAATTAAATCCAGGAAGGTGGCAGCCACTGCCCTGCAGGTCATTCTGGAGGGCTCAGCTAAATGCTCTTTAAACAGAGTTAGGAAGGGATTCTACCCGTCTGCAAAAGCCAGGAAACTCCCATTCCTGTCAGGGTGCTTGACACTGTGCAGGGATTTCTCGTGGTGAGAATCTTGGGAGGAGACCTTGTAGAAACACATCTTGACAACCTACACACACATACACACACACACACACACACACATTCTTATGCATACACACTCTCCACACATATAAACACACACACACATACATTTACACACAGAGATACATACACACATATGCATACCTGTATACACATTCTAACACATACACATTCTCATACACATATATAGACTCACACGCATACACAACCCATACAGACTCCCTTATCACATAGTATACACATACACACTCTCATATGTACACACATATGCATCCTCTGCATGCATTAATATACATGCACACTCTCACCTACATATGCATTCTCAGATATACATTCTCACGTATATAATACACATGCTTACATACACATTCTCACATACATACACACAATACATATACCCTCAGAGTATATACATATACACACACCTGCACACCCAATACATGTACTTTCACATGTATGCATACATGCATATAGACTCTCACATACAATACATACACAGTCCCATGTGCATGTACATAACATACAGCCTCCCATACACATATATATGTTCACTCTTCACATATACACATACATTGTATTACATGCATAAACATACATACATGAGGGGGCTTCAAAAAGCTCAGGAAGAATGCAACTGACATACAAGACCAGCTTACTGTCTGATAGAGGCTGGTGAAAAGAACCCCCGCCCCCCAGAGAAGGAGCCTTAGTCCCCCTTCATGTCTGGAAATGAAGTCCCCCAAGGTTCATTTTCAGCCAAACAATTGACAGGTCTATTCAAGGAACAATAGCTCTGGGGCAGTACCCACACTGTAGGCTCATCAGCTAGTCAGGGTTTTACCAAAGACAAAGTTGGGAAGGGCTAGGGTAAATGCAGGGATGGACCCGGGCAATGTAGTGGCATAGGTGATGATACACTGTAGGAAGCGCAGGCAGTGAATGAAGTGGAACTAAATGTGAATGAATTGTTGAATGGAAACCAGTCTGCTCTGTAAACCTTCATCCAACTCACAATAAAACATCAACTTTAAAAAATGAGAATGATGAAACTTTCCACAACACTTTGGAGCCCCTGTGCACATATGCACTCTCATAGGCATCTCCAAGCATACTGTGGACACACCCTACTCTCACACTCACACACACACTCTCTTTCTTACACACATGCCAGAGGTATACCATGAACACAATACCTACTCTCACACTCACATACACACCCTCTCTCTCTCTTACACACATACCAGGGGTGTACTGTGGGCACAATACATACACCCACTCTCACACTCACATACACACCCTCTCTCTCTTACACATATGCCAGGGGTGTACCGTGGGCACAATACAAAACTTCAACTCTCACACTCACATACACACCCTCTCTCTTTTACACACATACCTGGGGCTTCAAACAGTTTGCAGAAAGTTTCTGTGGCCTGTTCATTCAGTAATCTCCACCAGCGTTTTAAAACCCCCTCATACTTTATTCCATGGCGATGACTGAAAATTCCAGGATGGATGAGCCGGGAGAAAATTTTAGTTGGCGATTGCTGGAAAGAAATCCCATCTTGGTTTCACTAGAACAGATTAGTGTCACGATGTGGCTGTGCTGAGTGGGAAAATTTTCTTCTTTGTTTTAATTTTCTCTTCCTTTTTTTTTTTTTTTTTTAACCCCTCAGCTGAAAAGCAGTTTGGCAGGCAACGGAAATGCAGGCCAGATCACTTCGTGGCCCTCAGCAAATTACTCTGCAGATCATGCTGAGGGCCTGTGTCAGAGCATGGGGGAGGCAAGAAAGCGGGGTCGAGGTCACACTGCTGGAAAGGGGCTGGACGGACTGTTGGAAGGGTGGACCATGGTGGACACAGGCTAAGGTGGCTGAGCAGAAAAGGCCTTAGGGGAATAGGCCTTCTGGGGGCCTGGGCCTTTCGGGAAGGGTGTGTATCCGATGGGGCTGATTGCACAATGGCTCCAGCTTCTAAGGTCCCCTGTCCCCCAGGTCAACGGGATGGACATCAGCAACGTCCCTCACAGCTACGCCCTGCGCCTCCTGCGACAGCCGTGCCAGGTGCTAAAGCTCACGGTGCTGCGAGAGCAGCAGGTCCGCAGCAGGAGCACCGGGCTGGCCCTGGACACCTACAACTTCCGGGAAGACAGCTTCCACGTGATTCTCCACAAAAGGACCCCCGAGGAGCAGCTTGGGATCAAACTAGTACGCAAGGTGGACGAGCCCGGCGTGTTCATTTACAACGTGCTGGACGGCGGCGTGGCAGACCGGCACGGGCAGCTGGAGGAGAACGACCGCGTGCTGGCCATCAACGGACACGACCTGCGATACGGCAGTCCGGAGAGTGCCGCCCACCTCATTCAGGTGGGTCACCGCTCAATCCCGGGGCCCCGTCGGGATCTGCTCAGGCCCTTGATGTACCCCACCCTGGTGCGCCCACCTTTTAACCCAAAGACTTGCGATGGAAAGGTCAGCTTCTTCACAGGTCCGAGGAATTCTCTAGGTGTTCTCAGCCGTCTAACCTAGCTGCAGGTAAAGACATCCGTCGTGGGGTAAGTCTGCAGACTTCTCTCACCCTCCTCACAGGGGACAGAGACACAGACCCAGAGGTCACGAGGCGACATTCAGCTCATCTCCAAGACACATCGCAGTCCACACTCCCCTAGGAGGCAGGCCTGTGCTGCCATCCTGTAGGCTTGACAAAGGTTAAGACCCAGACTCCGTAGTTAAGAGCAGGCCTCTTGAAAAGTCCATGGAGACTCTAGTACGAAGCAAAGAGGACGCTTCTTGATGGCTTAGACCCAACAGCCTGACCGACCCTGGTTCAGACGAATCTGTTTCCTTTGTAGTGTGATGTCCCGAAGGCCCAGATGCACCTTAGTGACTGCCTGGGTCCCCGTGACACGTTTGGACGTCTGTGGAGCTTCCAGCTTTCTTCTTAAAGGGAATGAGTCTGCTCACTTCACTTACAAAACACATGTTATGTTTCTGTTGTGTGCCCGACCCTGGACCTGATACAGAGAATGATCTTGATCAGACAGCTGCTTCAGTGTTCTCCCAAAGGAGCCCACAAGCTGAAAGGGAACGGCGCCTCCTCTCTCTGGTGTTACTGTATTACTATAGGGGACTGTGCTGGTGTGGGAGACTGTGGCTCGGATAGGCCTGGGGCTGCTTCACTGAGGAGGGAGAACTTTAACAGGGGCTTTGAGGGAACCAGTACAAGTGCTCTACATGGACCCGGCAGAAAGTCCTGCTAAGGACTACATTCCAGATCCGTACTCTGGCCTGCGGGCCTGCTCACAGCCTGGCCATTGGGGCATTCTCTGCCCACATTTCTTAAGCAGGGGGGTTTCTAGTATCCACTCCCTTACTTGAAAAGCGCAGTCACGCTGCCTTCTTGCTGTTTGAGTGCTGTCATACATCCAGCACATGTCCAGAGGAGGGCTGGCATTTCCGCTCTTCCTCTGCCTGGAAGACTTTTCTCCCAAATATCGGCACAGCCCATGCTCACACTGCATTCAGGTCTCTCCTTAGAGAGGCCTCACGGACTTGTTGGCAGGGGCTGTCCAGTGGGTGCCAACTCGGCTTGACACCACCAGGGCGGAACAGAACGAAACGCTGCCCCAGCCCTGCGCTGCCATTCACAGTCACTGCTATGCCTGCACCCATTGGTGGCCACTGTGTCAACCCGTGTTGTTGAAGGTCTTCTATTTCACTGAATCCACATGAGTACGCACGGTGTCCTTCTCCAGATAACGTGTCCGCCCGGGAACACGTCCTAAGGGAGGCAAGCCTCATCATCCTCCCTTTGAAGGAGCCTCTTGGATGGTTGGTTTGTCCCCGGCGGTCCATCGTATTCAGCATTCCATTCAAGATTCTTCACTAGCACCATCACGCACAGGGGTCAATGTGTCTTTAGCCTTCCTGTTCATGGCTCAGCTTCCGCCAACATTTAAGGCAGTTGAAAATACTCTGGCTTAGGTCAGCAGCACCTCAGTAAGGGACAGCTTTGCATTTTAACAGAGTCGCCTGAGGATCTAGTTAAAAAATGTAGATGCTGCTTCAGCATCTCTGGGGTAGACATTGACC